ATATACATTTATGTTATTTTCATTTGCTGTATTGACAGTTACCATCTGTATTTCAAGCCCTGAAAAAGTTAATGACGATATTAACCAAATAATCCTGTTTCCAAGAATCCTATACTGGGTCAATCCAATCCTTACCCCTTCCATAGTCCCGTCGGTAGTCCCTTTCCCTGCCCCGTGGTCTGTAGTCATCCCTTCGCCTTGGTCTATCATCATCTCCATACCGTTTTCTATCCCTGAAAGTAATATACAATTATTATATAAACTCTAAAAGTGGAAGTGATCTGGAATCAGTTCAGCTCAAAAGAACTCAATGAACTCTTCAGCTGGTTGTGATAGTGTAAAGAAGCTACTTGTATGTAAAATTTTTTAACCTCATAGGTTTTCATCTGTTGGGCTGGCTAAAAATAAATTTCTCATTGATATAAATGCATGTTTATGCTCTCAGTTTTAGCTTGCCCGCTCAGAGTTATACACAAACGAGACCTTGCTGAAGCTGTAGCTATCCTACCTTTCTGCTGACCCTGATCTCCCTCGACCTTTGTCATGGGGACTGCGGCTACGACTGCGTTTCCTCACCCGGCGAAAGTCACGCTCATCATCATCAGGGACCTGCATGATTGGGAACAACAGAAAAACAAGTCAGTAAATGGATTGTCATTCTCTCATTGGTCAAACTACTAATTACAATTATGATGGACAATCAAAATCTGTCTATTGTGAACTATAGACTAAAATGTCCAGTGTTTCAGCTCAGTGTTTTGTGTGTCATGACCATATTTGATACTGGAGAGCAAAGGCCAATAGGCAAGCAGCATTTCTATATGCAATGGCCTGATTGGGCTAATTCACAGGTGGTGGTTCTTCTTGCTGATTGGCTGTTAAGATAATTGAATCAGACTGACTGCTTTGGAACAGGCACAAACATACATCTTCTGATTTCCTGTGTGTGATGATGGGTTCTGGTTTCTTCTCCTCAGGTTCAGGGACAGGAACAGGGACAGGCTCCGGCACATGGACAGGCAGGTACGTCTTGGTGTTCAGCGCAACAAACAGGCTCTCCACAAAGGTGTTTGTTTCTACAGCAAAGGGAACAGAATTAGATAGTCCAGCAGTAATGATCACACAACAATAAACACACCCAAAGTGATTTCAGGGCAGTAAAACTGGTTTTAAAAGTCAATTGTTGGTCATTTTCTGAATCAACCCCATCCCATAGCATACTGGTATCTGTGAGACAAAAATATAATCTAGTTATTTGTTGATGGTACCAAAAAAAATAAAGGGACTCCTCAGTCCTGTAACTTGTTTTTAAGCTGTTTCAATGATTTATGTATGAAATAATGATGAAAGTGTGCTAGGAAAGGCAGTATATGTCAATATCAGACAGATTTTCATCATCCAGAATATTTTTGGGGGTTTTGTCGCCCTAAAATTGCATTCATTTGGATGCCTTAAGACATACACAATGAAGACGTCTTTTAACAGAGTCTTTGTCATTGCACAATTGGGCAAATCTGAAATAACAGTTGATACTATATATCTCTATTATTAATAATACATGGCTTTTCTATAAAAAAAATAGTAGGTGCTAGGTAGGCCTTATCTTCCCTACGGTTAAAAAATTTAGGGAAGATCTAAATCTAGAGTGCAAGGGTTGCAGGTTGAATCTTGCAAAGTTGTGTCATCCCTTTTTATCTAGCAAAACAGAGTCTTAGAAGTTGTACCTTTCTGAAGAAAGACTTCCAGCTGATCCTTGCACAGGGCCTTGAGCTCCTCCTGAGGTTTGTCCTTCTTCACAAGGGCCACAACGTACTTGGCCAAGGCCTGCGGGTCGGCATCACAACTGCAGGGGCACAACAAAAAAACAAACAACAACAATAAACAAACCTCCGTGAAGTCGTGACATGCAATGGGTGAAGGTATATCGCACCAAGAAATAAAATGACTGACAAGAGATCAATGACCTTTGGGGACATAGGTTACTCCTATGTGACTGGACTGTGTATCTAATTTCAGTTGGCTCTGAGCTGGCTGTGGTATCAGCGTGGGGGGTATCAACCTACTACATGTATTATGTAACAGAAAATCTGCAACAATGACCCAAATCACAAAACCTCAACAACTCAATATATGCACCTAAAAAAATGAAATTGCATCTTGACAAAGCATTGACAATTTGACACACAACATAACAATGCTGGAAATACATAATTTTAATATATCTTAGGTCTTTGCAGAGAACTTAACGAAATAGGTAGACATCCTTGGAGCCTATAATTTAGCGCTTAGGCCACACCAATTTAATTTGTTGGTTCTCGGATTTTTTCAGAAAAAATATGAAGCGACAGGGCGAAAAAAATAAAATAAAAACAGGTCTAGGCATCCTATCATAGCCCCAAATGCTACAATATGAGCCATGAAGTCAACAAAAAAGGCTGGGTTAAAATTTCAAGTATAAATTTTGAACTTTTAACCAAACCACTGCATTGATAGATGGAAAAAAACTGTAACTAGGAAGAAAAGGAATTTCCTCAACTGTTGGGGGCAAAATATGAGCATTTTTGAGTTGATTCAGAACCAGAATCTTTTTTTTTTTGCAAATCAGAAAAAAAATGAAGAGGCGAATCCGAGAACCAACAAATTAAATTGGTGTGGCCTTGGTTTAAAATAAATTAAATGGTATTTTTCCACATGAATGGAAATGCAGGCCATTTTCTACACACTAATTTCATTGTCAAATCAATACTAGTATCCAATCCATTAAAATGGTACATGTACCTCACTGTGAAATTAGAAATATTCACAGTGCATTGTCAGAATTTCTTTGGCTTGTAACAGCCTAGATATGATGGTCTCAAATATGTAACACTGCCAGGGCCTATTAATGTGTATTATAAACAGGCTAATAGTTAAGGCAAAATAAACGAAAACCGTTATCATTGATTCTTTAGTCAATAACAATAACATTTTGCATTTTCTTTCTACAGTCTCTGAATATTGTCTACATTTTATATTCAGGATATCATAGAAAGACATCTACAAGAAAGATATTTTCAAAATGCAGGACTACAATGTGGAATCCAACCTAATACTAATCAGATTAAGGGGTAATCGGTTTTAAGGCGACGCAGTCGTCATAGACAGAGATTGGGCTAAATATAAGCTTAATATATTTGTTTGTTATTATAGAATTACTGGAAAACAGGTGCATAAATATGCATTATCTAGCAAAGAGGTTGCTAGATAATGCTAAATTTCTAAAATATATAAAATAGAATGATGTAGTCCACTGTATGTGTCCTTTACCATGTAAAACACTGAGCTTCAATCACACTTTAGAGTTACAGACTCTTTGTACAAAATAAGGGCAGTGGACTCTATTCTGCTGACTGGATGTTGAAACAAGCGCTTATCTGAGTTCTAACAGCAAACAGTGCCGACTGCAAACATCTAACTCTCAGCCAAGACTAACAGAGTAACACTCTACATGTTGGTGCTAGTAGTCACAGGTTTTCTCAGATAAAAACACCCCGCTCTGCCAAGTACCAGACTAGTAAATCATCAAATAAAAAAATGAAAAATCAGGAATGCAGCATCCTTATAAATCTTCCCTCAAATTGAAGTTCAAGTCAATGTTATTTCTCTCTTGTAGCAGCTACGTGATAAGTTTTGTAACAACCTATGTTTGGGCAGTAGCCTGTGGCAAGGAATTTTTTCCAACCATATCTACATAATGATATTAATTGTAGTTTGTAAGAGCCATCCATACGATCCACGGTGCCAAACTGCCAATAATAATTTGTGACTTCTTTTCTGTATAAGATATATATGGTTAAGATTAAGGGAATTTGGTTAGCATTTGATTCAATAGCAATCCCAATTACTAGTACGATACCTGATGGAATAGCCAAGGCAAGTGTTGCAGGATTTGCTCTTGCTTGCAACTTTTCTTATCAATACAATGTATAATATTAGAGAAGCTCTATGTACAACAATCCCTAAATCAAGACAGAACATTCTGCGGACTAATTTTCAGACAATTCTGGAGTACAACTTCTACAAGTAGACCATAATTCTTAACCTATCATACAAATATAAATTATGTAAAACAGGATTCCACATTATCCTTTGTTTCTGTACCTATAATATAATATAATATAATATACACTTTATAAATAGTCATCCTATAATCTTATGTTTTCATAAATTCGATAACGATCAATTCCTTCAAACTACTTCTGTCAAAAGCAAGTTATTAATGAAGAACACAAAACTGTAACGCCTCCTTTCCTTCACACAGTCTGTACACACAAACGTATGCTTGTAGTACATATGGCTATAAGTATGTTGGTCTTCTGCCTCTGTAAAACACGGAATAACCCATCCCAACACAATAAGATGTGATATCTCGAAACAAATATTGTACTTACATCGGTGAAAGCGTGTTCGCGAGCCAGGTTTTGAAGGCTTCCACGTTCTCGATCGGCATGGCGAAGCAAAAAATATGTGTTTTCGGGCGACCGAACGACGAATCAAGCCGGTTTGATCACCAGACAAGTTCCAACCAGCTTCGCCCTATATCCCGCCTCGCTTTCCACTCTGTATGGCTGTTATACCGTCTAAGATTCCCTTTAACATATCAGGAGGAGATCTAGATCAATTTTCTGGAGTAACTCCGGCGGAAAGTGCTCAAATTTTCCACCTTGGCATCGACATCGTCTTCTCTCTCCCACGAGTCACGCATTCAAAATGGCGGAGTAGGAAACTTACATTCTGTCCAGGGGGTGTCACAAAATTAAATCCATCTTTTAATATATCCTATTTGACCTTTTCCGAAACAATTAAATAGAAAAAAAGACAAAATTGACCTTATTAATGTTGTAAAATCGTTGAATGTACGCTTTTTGTTCGACGACGTGTATTTCTCACAACTTTGGCCGATGCTTTCAAATGTAATCGTCCACCTCTCGTTCCCGAGAAGACCAAGTGTCGTTCCCAAATAGGATTGCTGCCAGTGGGTTGACCCCGGGTCATTTATGGGTGAACATTTACATGTAACGTTATATCTACATATCTGTATATACAACTTCTACTTCTAGCCAAGGAATTAGCCTGGTTACCAAACCTATTGTAGCTGCCGGTAGCCCTATTATAGTTGCCGGTAACCAGGCTACCAGTAGTAACCTCAAGATTTCTTCTAGTTCATTTTCATGCAATATATAGGAACAATTAATGATGAATAAGAGCAGGTTAATGATGTAACATGGAGCATAATTTTATCTTGAAAGTTCATCTGTGTTGGTAGGAATCATTATGAAGCAAGTTTAAACTGTAACTTGACAGAGAAGGTCAACTTTCCATTGAAATTTTATCCAGATTTTGATCCCCTAGCAGCCTCCTTCCAAACTGCAGGTTTATTTCACATCCTTGTTTTGACTTTTTTCAAACAGCCCCCTGACTTTCCTAAGATAATATTACTAATGCAGATATTCGATTCAACAAAAGTTTTTAAAAAAAAAGAGGCACAATAAAACAATGTTATAATGCTTCTTTAATTTTCTATTAAAGTAAATAACTCGTGTACACATGTACTAAGGCACTTTCTTTGGCAATATCAAGAAAATCCTCTCACACATAATCTGAAGTTTTTGTTCACCCATTGGCAAGCTACATAAAAGACTCTGCTGTCAATGATCACAAAATAGAATTCAGGCCTAAATCTATTTGAGGAGATTGGTAAGTAAACAAATTGACACTTGCTTCTGACATTATATGATACAGATAGGTCAAAAATATGTTGCTACTGTCACAATATATTATATACATACTGGTGCGTGTGATCATACGATTTCAAAGTATTTCTTCACATAAGTTACACAAACGTGTATTTCAAAAATATGTACATATCAATGTTGTAAGTGTAGGACTCTCTATAGATGTGGGAAAGAAGACAAATAGAAAGAAACACTGCAGATAAGTCTGGGCACCTCAAATCAATTGTGAGAAAATAGGGTCCATCTCTTTGAATGAAGAAACAACTTATGAGCTGCAGGTTACCAAAGTATGAGTGGCAAATATACACAATATTAGACCCCCACCCAGGTCCCAACATGCTGGCAGAACATACTGCACCTGCACAATTTAACCCGTAATGTATTGTGCATAGCAGTTCATCAGAATGTCTTGTTTAAGGTCATATTCCCATATTTCAGGATGTCATTCCATCTATGGTTTTCAAATGTTGTGTCAGAAAAGATGCTGTCTGCAACAGGCAAAATTCTGATGCAACATTGACCAAACATCCAACGAAAACCATAAAAAATACGGGTTTCACACAAGTGCAAGATGTTCTGCCAAAATGCTGACCCTCACCCCCAACCCAATTGTCTATGAGCCCCTCCCTATGGAGTCGGTTCTTCTTGTGTTGTTTCCTCTTCTGCTGCCTCTGTCGTTTCTCCTGCAGTACCGTCTGTCTCCACTAGAGGCTCCGGCGCTGCAGCTTCCCTTGGTGTATCCTCTTCACTCGTGGCTGTTTCCTCACTAACTGCATGTCCCAAAGGGGCTGAGGAAACAAGTCAAAGTCAGACAGGTTTTTATATAACATGCTATAGAAAAGAGTGGGTTTACTACATGTTTAAACTAGGTTGTAAAGCTTTATACAGTACTTAAGAGTATATGATTTAGTGACTAACCAATTGTTTACAGCTGCCAATTGAAACCATTGTGACAGGCTGAATGTAAATTCTACATGGGAACTTTGCAGCTTCAGATGTGAGAAACAACTGTGGTGTGAAAGAAGTTGCTTAACTTGAGGAATGAATCCACCCTACTTTATAGAGTTCTTTCACCTTAAGACAACTAAAGCAAGTCTCAAGGGACTGGAGGCAGCTTCTCCACATGATAACCCTAGGCACACTTACCCTAGTACAACTTACATGTACAGCACTTGTCACTTAAACCATGGTAAGTCAACTTCTATGTTGGAACATCACAGGTTATTGATGAATGTAAAGATTTTTATTTTCACATTACAGAAATTATTATTAATTTATTGTATATAGAGATATTTCTTGCATGATTGAAGAAGCATCGATGGCAATTATCTCACCTCTCTCTCTGATGGGTTGGTCAAACTCGTCAAATCTGACGTCTTTCCATTCGATCATCCTCTCCATCTGGTATCTCATGGGAGTCTGCAGGTGTCCTGCGTAGTCCTCCAGTCTGTGGTGGGCGTTGGAGACTCCGTACTGTACCCGCGCTGCCGCCATCATCCCCGGGTTGTTCAGCTCCCGCGCCGTTTCATACGCCTTTCCGAAGTACTGGCAGGCATGGCCGTATTTTCCCTGAAGACATGAAAAGAAAGGAAAGAATCCAGTTTTAGCACACTGAAGAGCTATTCCTCCACTGGTCATGTCAGAGAAGACAGACGCTATGTACAGTATTTACAGGTTCATTGTGCCAGAGAAATTCCCCTAGCTCTTTTCGACAAGCACAATGAACAGTGGACTGCAGCTTAACATCCCATACTTAGGACTGGAACCCTTTACAGTAGCGTGCATGTCGGGTGAGCATCAACAGCCGATATTCAAACTCGCAACCTCTTGGTCCAGAAGCAGGGTTGCATGTCAGTGACATGAAAACAGTACAGAATAAAAGTACAGTGTGAAAAAAATCAAGAATTGCAGTATGTCCCTGTGACCTACCAGTGAGTTATAAATGACTCCCAGACAGCTGCAGGCGTTGACCAGGGCTGTGTCCTGGTGGGTTCTCTCTGCTACATCCACAAATGCCTCCAGGTACTGGATAGACTCCTCAATCTTTCCCTGGCTGTAGGGATGACAACAGGACTAGATCAGCATCATGATGACAACCACATGGTTACACTATAAATGATTTAAAGCCAATGGCTTCTGAACAGGTTTTAGTATGATCTAAACTTCCGAAATTCTGAGTGGTTTAGGTCGAATTTGTCTGGAGCAGGTAATTTTCAATGTTGCCTGGACCAGTGGAGGTATGTAGAAAAAAAACATTTCAGCACCAAGGACAAGGACATGTGGGAATCCAGTACACAATTACATTTGTATTTAACGTTTTGTTAGTGTTACAAACTTTATGGACTATAACTTTTTGAACTACATATCTCTGCTGCCTAACCCTGTATGCAGATAACAGTATTTTGAGCGTTGGTATTAATCGTGGTTGTACCATGTAAATGTCACGCAGGCCATAATATGGTGACCAGCCCCTTCAACTCTGTCCTGCCACTTGCTACATAATGTAACGCAACACCACAGGGTGTCTGCTGCAGCACCAGTTACCATGGGAACAGATTTGTCCTCTAGGTCATTGACCCTATAAATTTGGAGAAGAAAGAGAAGGAAACAATACATTTTCCTTCTGCGAAGGTAAACAGAAGAAGGTATGTTACCTCTCATAAGACTTGGCGATGGCCTCACAAGCCTGTCCGAAGCCCATGTCATCTCCATTAGCCTTGCAGATCTCCAAGTAGCCATTCAGGTACTGTTGGAGGAACAATTCAAAGATATAGTCTCAAAGCATTTAAAAACAAAAATGGTTGACCAGTAGTCAATTGTTGACTGTGCAGTTTTAAGATATTGAAAGCAACATGACTGTAGGAAAAAAGACATATCTGACCAGGATTGCTGTCTCTGAGTCCCCACTACTCTCGTAAGCCTTCCCCAGTCTGTAACTTGCCAAGCCCTCCTTGTAACTGTCTCCACCTAAGGAACGCAATGGGAAAAAATATTGTAATATGCAACAGGCCCTAATGAAAAATATTTTGATACAGGATTTCATTATTCTGTCAAGTGTATTTTCAATAGAAAAAGGTACAAGGTACGAAAATACATTAAATCTGACTTTAAGTTTAGATTATACATTCATTACATTGTAATACATAGTTGCTACCTTTAAGTGCCTTAACAGTTCAGAAAATATAATGATAATGATTATGTTCTTCCTGTGTCTCCTTTTAAATGTATAGTTTTCCTATAAATGACTATAAGTCTCTTGCTGTATGTGGTCAAACCCGATACATTTACATAAGAGAATTACATTTAGACTACATGCCTAAAACTAAACTAAAGTGTAGGAAGACACTCTGGCTCACCTTCCTTTGCCATCTCAAACGCCTTGGCGAGGTACTGTATGGCACCCTGTGGGTCCTGGGCCTTCATCTGATCAGCGATGGTTGTGTAGATCCTACTCAGGTGGTCGCACGATGAGGCTTCCAACGTCTTCCCGCTGGCGTCCTTCCAGTTCCTCCCTGATGCCAGCTCATGGAACTCCACAAAGTGCTGTGCAGCTCGATCATACTCTCCTGTAGGGAGTTTTCAACAGAAATGTCAAGAACATACTCTCAGATCATACATTACCTCAAGGGCTGGCATACGATCTGAATGTATGTTTTTGATGTACGTCATAGCAGACCAATTTACATGCAAGAAAAGTTCAACGTACACAGTTTTTGTACTCTCGCATGCATACAAATTTTTTATATCATCAGGTTTTTGCCTGCATGTAAATCAGATCAAAAACTGATTGCAAGTCTTTCCTACCAACATTCAAGTGCTTTCTGATTAACTTCAGTTCAATACAAAATTGAAGTTCACCTCTCTCTTCATAGGCCAGGCCGATGTTACAGTTTGCTTCCGCCTCTTTCCTCCGTCCGTCACCGCGTACCGACAGGCTGGTCTGGAGGCAGGCCTGGAAGAAGTGGTCCGACAGCCAGGTGTCGGCAGTACTCTGGAAGTACTTGGCCAGCTGGTACTGACAGTGGTACACCTCCTCCATGTTACCTGTGACAACGCCATGGTACAATCAGGATTAATACCAGCGCTCAAAATACTGTAAATCACTTCATGTTCACGGTAGCAAAAGTTCGTGGCCTGAGAAAAATGGACTTGTTAACGGCATTCACGGTGGCAGCAAGTGCATCAAAAAGAAAGTCGATAAATTATTGGCTCCCAGCAATGTAAGTTCAGGGTACAGAAGTGACCGCAAAAACTGCAAATATAAATTCAAAGTACCATGAAAAAATCTACAAATTGAGTTAGGGAGAAGGTTAAAGGCATTCTGTTACTGATAGTCCACAAAATCATAGTCCATAGTTAAGTGTTAAATAATTGAGTACAGGATTCCCACATGTCCCTATCCTTGGTGCTGAAATCCTTTTTTCTGCATGCCTGGAATGACGGAGAGACAGATGCTGGCTAGAACACTGGTGGCACCTCCTAAAAGGATGAACTGAACTGAACACTTACCCATCCTTCTGGCAGCCTCTCCTCTGGTCAGGTAATGTTTGATCTGGTCCAGCTTCTCTGGTTGGTCCTCCAGCAGAGGCTCCTGCCATAGCAACGAGTCAGGCCCCGCCTCCTCTCGCTCGTCCTTCCTCTTCTTCATCAGCTGGAACAGCTCCGTGAAGGACTTGTGGAAACCCTCCCGTAACATCTCCAGGCATAGGTTGTGTTTGTAGGAGTTGCGATATCTGTAAGGACAAGGCGGTAGCAACAACTTCAGACTCACATAACATCACATAATATGATTATATATTCTGTAAGTGACAGTGCCTTAAAAGCAGTTGCCTTACATAAGTTGCGATTTCTCATGAAATAAGAAACTAAGAAATTCATGTTTACTGCATGGTTTAGCGTAACAAACTACTGCTGTTTATTCTTACTTAAACACATTCATATACATTGTATATGCTATATGCTGACCAGCCCCTCCTACTTGCTACATAATGTAATCCAATACATTGCAGTATGTCTACTATCTAAGCGCCAGTTACTGTGATCAAATACAATGTGTTTTCCTTCTGCAACATGATTAGACCACTCAATGTCACAATACACAACATGCTACAATGTATGTTATGTGATGGCATAAATATTTCAGGTATGATACCTAGGCTATCATCTATATGGAAAAGTGATTGAGGAGAGTAACACCTCGAGCAAAGATCCCACCACACTTATTGAAAAGAGTAGGGCTCCTTCCCTGTAAAAGTGGATCAAACCTTACAGTTCAATCTTATGCAGTTTCTACTTACTGTACAAAACTGGTATGTTATGCCTTAAGGCAGTTTACCAGTTATGAGAAACAAACAAAAGCAAACAAACAAGTATAGTCCTATTAAAGCCTCGGAGTGCCATGCACTCTGTCAACTAGAAAAAATGATCACCTTGCTGTCTCTAACTTGTCCAGTTCTGGCTGTTGTACTCGCAGGTTCTGTTGTTTCATCAGCATCTCTCTGTCCTTCATACCCTGCACTCTCTTCACTGGTTTGAGGGTAGGTTTGGGGGCCCTCCCCTTGGGTGGGCTGGGCATGCGCCGCTGAGGAATACTGGCACCCCCCATGTAGATCCCCTGATTCGGGGAGATTGCTGGTAAAGTAGCCATGGTTCACTGCAAGCTAGAAAATCTGGAAAGTAATGATAAAACATAATGTATGAAATTTTACATTAGTGGAAACACTAGACTAAATATCCATGAATAATTTCATCGGTTGGTCAATTATTTAACGACGCGAACTTGCCACTTAACTTAATAGCAAAGTCCTTCATTCACAACCAATTTTTTTATAACGAGTCGACATTTTGATGACCGTTTTTTTTTTAGAAAATAGGCAGTGATTAAAACATCGGCTGGTGTTAAAAATGTTTGTGAATGAACTTCTCTAGACTAAATACTAAGTCAATTTTTGTGGGTTGACCTTCTTGGGTTACCTGACATCTAGTTTTTGTGGAAGTTCCTTCACAATTAGGTCAGATACGTAACTTACGAACTTTACAGAAAGTTATTAAAACCTGCAACAAAACAACAATTTGAGTAAACAACACGAGTAAACAGAGAAAACAACACGCAACGTGTTAACTTGATGAATATCCTTCCTAGTAAAAGTACCAGAGGCTAGATAGATCTGGTAACGAAAAACGATGCCAAAACGATGCCATCATTTACAGCTGTACAACGTTTCCAAGTTAGTATATCTCTCTGAAAGACCAAGGTTTGGGATAAGGGAATGATAAAACTGGCCCACTTTCTAGACACACATAAAAACGCCATTATTCTCATAGTTCTAGATAATACATATTTCGTTAGAAACGTGCACGTACGAGTAGCAAATGGATATATCTATCTGGGAGTTTGTATACACTAGCATCGAACAGGTGTTCCGACTTTTCGTACCATATTTCGAGAGGCAAACATTTTAGTTTAACAGAAGCTGTAGCATAATAGCATTTCTAAAGACACGTATACAACCTCGCCTTATCTTCTCGTACCTTCGGATCATGTAAAATGGAGTCGTCAGTCCGAATTTGCAGTGTCTTTTACGTGCAAGTAACTTGGTCCAACTTTTCAAACCTTTCTTCTCCTTCCATCATGGCCGACATTGGTGCTGACGGTCGTCATGGCGACAGCCTTAAGTCTCGTCAGATCTCGCGGGAGTATGACAACTTTTATGACAAAGCGGCATCTAGCGGCAACTTCGAGCACTGCAGTAAGGGTAACCTGCACTCAATATTGATGTAGTCTCCACTGAGGTGAAGCACTTTCTATCGACAGATGGTGTAAGATGTATCTAGTATCATTTCCACCCCAGAGGGTGGTCAGAGGGTATTCAAGATGATGAAGAGCGTTCAAGTCATTTTGCTTTCAAACTACATGTTAACGTTACTATGGAATGAAAATTGGTGTTTTTTCACCATTTTTAATATAGTGAACTGCTATGATTGTTAGGAGAGAACCAATAACTAAACATATTCCAACATTTTCTATTTTATTTTTCTTTAAAAATACCAGCAGATCTAAGTACATGTACAAACAAACAATGTCTTTTCGAAATTTCACTGAAAAAATACTAATATAGCCTATCAGAAAGTATACGCACAACAATATCACCACGAGACCATTAAGTTACTAGCTGCTCTTACATAAATTCAAAGTTTATGCCGAATTACTATTCTGGTAAAAGCTGCTTAGATTCTTCACTGTAAACAATCCACTGAAACAAGTCTTAAGCACCAGACTATGCAACATTAGTTTCAATGTTCACACCCCAGCTTATTTTGAACTCTCATTTCACAATCTCATCTGAAATCTGTTTGGTAAATACAGAAACATGTCACAAAATAAAGGACTTCAAATATGCAATGTATGTAAAAAGACCAGAATTGTCATCATTCAAAATGACAGTACAAAGAATTTTCTGTAATGCAAAAGTAAATAAACAGTAGAAACATTTAAATCTTCAGCTCCTATTCCATATATATGAAACTATCTAATGTAAACACTGTACAAGTGTTTGAGGACAGAGGAGAGTTCTGATTCAACTGATTTTATTCCAAAGTTCTGGAACAGGATCAGCTTTTCGAACACCGACCAGATTTTATTTAAAAACAGCAAGCATATTATTACATTGCTTATATTATAATCAAGCTTCTTCCAGAAAACACTCCCCGGACGCCATCTGCTTTTGCAGGTTTTCGAAAGCCCGAATCTCCTTTTCCTCCTTGGCTTTGTTCCTTGCCTCGAAATTCAGCCTGTTGGTGATGATCCTCTTGATGATCTTGGACGTCGTCATGTCGTTGTCGCTGTCGATGCGCTTGAACTTCTCCAAATCCTTCGGAACCCCATAGGGGTCGCGCCCGTCCTGGTCGGGGGGATACGGCGTCCTCCCGTGGATGACGACGTCAACGTTAAAATGATCCATCAGTTCCTGGGTTACGGTGTAGGGGGCGCCGATCACAACCTCCGAGACATACCTACAGGCAAGCACACAGAGAGTCCGCTCATGAATATTCATGATGGGGTGGTTGGAGCCCTTGTACCAGTTGACTACAGGGTCGGTGTGAAGCCCAACGATCAAGTAGTCACCCTCTTGTCGAGCCTTCTGTAGGAAGTCTAGATGTCCCACGTGGAACAAGTCAAAGGCTCCGGATACATACACGATGCGGTCGCCTGGCTGGGGGTTGGTACCTCCCTCAGAGAACTGGGCGATTTTCTGCGTTGTTGGCAGGAACTGTGAGACTCCCGTCCACGGGCTGCGGGCCTCGTGTCCAGTTCCCAGCTCCTCCACCTGTTAGCAAAGACACAAAAGTGAGTGAGTGAGTGAGTGAGTGAGTGAGTGAGTGAGTGAGTGAGTGAGTGAGTGAGTGAGTGAGTGAGTGAGTGAGTGAGTGAGTGAGTGAGTGAGTGGTCTGAAACTGTTTGCACATATGTACACACATGACATACACACAAATATCGTTACTTCTGCCACATGAAGCAAAATTACATTCAATAAAACCCTTATAAATCTTATTGTCATGTAACCCATAATAATGTGCAATAAAGTTATTCTATCCAATAAGGAACATCGTGCCAGAACTGAATAAGATGAAATCAGCTGACCTGTTCCCTGGGTGGATGTGCCTCGTGTTCCCGATTGTGATGCGTCTTGGTCAGCAGCAGCATCCGTCCGACCATGTCTGTCGTGGAGATGCCCGCCGTGCGCCGACACTCCTTGTAGCGCCCGCAGTTCTTCACCTCAGCGTACGTGTCCTGGCCGTCTGCCGTCATGGTGATGTCATCACCGTGGACGCAGAAGTCACAGTTGTACTTGTCCATGGTGTCAAGTGTGGTGACATATGGGGCACCCTCCACAACCTAATAGAAGAATTTTCAATTCAAAGCCTCTGGTTATTCCATATAACATATGTAGCTTGTTTGCCCACATGAATAACATTGGGATTGTGTCAAATTTCTTACTACAAGAATCGACTAATGCTATTAGCACAATATCTCAAAGTCAAATATTTCCACTTACATCGTTTCTCATGTTTTCATTTATAAGTACATGGTTATAAAGAAAGGACGGTGGGGGATAGCGTATGTGTCGTCTTCTTGGTATGTGGTTCACCTCTCATGATGAATACAAGCTGGGGGCTCCAAGCACATGTGCCCCCCTCCCCTCCCCTGGCATGGTGCCATGGTGCCACATACCTCGTCCACCCACTTGATCGCTCCCACCATCTTGTACCTCTCCTGCTCCGTCATGACGGGCGGGCCCTTGTGCTTCGTGATCTCCTCGTCTGAGTGGATCCCGACCACCAGGTAGTCTCCCATCTTCTTGGCCTGACGGAGTGCGTTCGCGTGCCCGAAGTGCGCCATGTCGAAACACCCGTCCACCCAGACCCGCACGGGCCTGCGACCGTCCCTCCTGCCGTCTGAAGCCATAATTTAGTCGGACTCTAGGTGCCTACTTCGGAGGAAGTACGGGAAAGATCACTCGATCAGATTTTCTTCCCCTAAATGCCACTAAAACCGTTAATTATCAAAGAAAGAAAGGGTTTTGATTATAACTCACGCCAAGAACGGAAGTATGCCAACCACGGTAACCTTTAACCTCTATATCTGGGGACCGTTCAATATTATAGCTCAGGGGTGTTGCTGGAAGAAACTTGAAAGTTTTTCTATTCTTACGTAAAGGCGATGAGTTACAATGCTGTACTTTAATTCTGGCAAGTCAAATCAAAATGGGGATGATGAATTACTTTTCGTGGTTATCGGCTGAAGGACGAGGAACCCATTTGTAACATTTAACGAAACATCCCGGATTAGTTCACCTTTAACCCCAGAAATGTAACCTAAATACCGACCGCACCGGTTGCTGCATATATGCAGGTCCAAATTTACGAAGGCCCATAGGTACACTTAGCATTTTTTATTCCACTTTGTATTTTCTATGGGTACTTTGTATTTTCTATGGGTACTTTGTATTTTCTATGGGGTACTTGTTTTTTTCTGTGGGTACTTTGTATTTTCTATGGGCACTTTGTATTTTCTATGGGTACTTTGTATTTTCTATGGGCACTTTGTATTTTCTATGGGCACTTTGTATTTTCTATGGGCACTTTGTATTTTCTATGGGCACTTTGTATTTTCTATGGGCACTTTGTATTTTCTATGGGCACTTTGTATTTTCTATGGGCACTTGTTTTTTTCTGTGTGTACTTCGCGAAGTTTTTTTGGTGGCTGGCGAAGCGACATTCATTTTGCTTTGATGTGGATGCTCCCATTTTTATTATGGCGGTATATTTCTATTTACCATTCTAGGCAACTAAATTTATTTTAAACCTATTAAAACATAATATACTTTACACTTTGAGAAAATTTTGTTTGTTTTGCATGCAATGTTCCACACGTTTATTAATTAGGAGTATCAAATAGTGATTATTACATCCTGGCATAGATTATGTTAATGTAGACACAGGACCATACTATTTTCGGGGGTGCTAGGACATATTGTTCAGACTTCCGTCAACATTTCCGTAGCGATATATGGTAAATCACTTCCTCGCTGAATGTAATTACTCCTTTGTATTAAAAAAAGCCCGTAATCTAAAGCGAGGGTTCATTGCCAATGTTGGGAAAAAATTGCATTGCGGTTTGCTGCCCTCCTACCAACCGCGAACGTTCATCACATGCAGTTTACGTAGGAAATATGGACAGTATGCCGTTTCAGTAAATAACCTGACATCTAAATTATTGAAATATTCACAGAAACTCAAATTACACTCTAGGTTGACCGTCTAATCGTGTGGTAAGCTACATGTGTGCTGTAGTGACATGAATTGGCACTTTTGTGGGGAGGGGGGCGTCCCAGCAAAGGTCAACGACCTCCATGGCTTACGGCCTATGTTTCACGCTTTTGCACTTCATAAATGAACAATTTTAGATGTCAGGTTATTTACTGAAACCAAGGAGGTTGAATACAATACTTGTATTTAACCTCCTTGCTGAAACGGCATATTGTCCATATTTCCTACGTAAACTGCATGTGATGAACGTTCGCGGTTGGAAGGAGGGCAGCAAACCGCAATGCAATTTTTTCCCAACATTGGCAATGAACCCTCGCTTTAGATTACGGGCTTTTTTTAATACAAAGGAGTAATTAACATTCAGCGAGGAAGTGATTTACCATATATCGCTACGGAAATGTTGACGGAAGTCTGAACAATATGTCCTAGCACCCCCGAAAATAGTATGGTCCTGTGTCTACATTAACATAATCTATGCCAGGATGTAATAATCACTATTTGATACTCCTAATTAATAAACGTGTGGAACATTGCATGCAAAACAAACAAAATTTTCTTAAAGTGTAAAGTATATTATGTTTTAATAGGTTTAAAATAAATTTAGTTGCCTAGAATGGTAAATAGAAATATACCGCCATAATAAAAATGGGAGCATCCACATCAAAGCAAAATGAATGTCGCTTCGCCAGCCAACCAAAAAAACTTCGCGAAGTACACACAGAAAAAACAAGTACCCATAGAAAATACAAAGTGCCCATAGAAAATACAAAGTGCCCATAGAAAATACAAAGTGCCCATAGAAAATACAAAGTGCCCATAGAAAATACAAAGTGCCCATAGAAAATACTAAGTACCCACAGAAAAAACAAGTACCCATAGAAAATACAAAGTACCCATAGAAAATACAAAGTGGAATAAAAAATGCTAAGTGTACCTATGGGCCTTCCTACAAATTAGCAGCAGATCGACTAAGATAAACCCAAAACTAACGCGTTTGGTTCATCCTGCAAGATCGTGAACTCTCCTGGCGTTTCCAGGGTTTGTAAAGTGAGTAAAATGCTCTCTGTGTCAAAATTTGTATCAGTTGTTGTTGCAGTGTATCCTTTCAAGAACAAGTATCCTTTTCTTTTGTTGTACCGCAGCTATCCATAACCCTATCAACGTATCCAATTCATGCGACCACAAACAGTAACGCCATAGTCTCACCAGCACTACAGTATTTTAAAAACTGTCTTTGCGGCAGCGTCTTTGCGTTCCACTGAATATATATTTTTTATGTCCACAGCAAACGTTCATGATCATCTGTTGCACACCGGTTGCAGAAAGTGGGAGTGTCTTATATCTTGACATGGAAAACCTCTGAATTGCTGGATTACTCGTGTTTGGTTGGGAAAATGTTTCAAAGTCCACCACCTAGTGAAACGCTGCCTGGAGAAGATTAACAACAACTGAGCACACTTCTAGTTCTTTTATCCTCAACAGTCAGTACCAAGGACAGACCACACCCCATCAAGTAACCCTACGTTGGTGATAACTTTGCATTTTTGAAAGATGTCCCACCCAAGCATTGATGGCACAGCCTTACCAGCAGATGATGAAGAACGGAATGGATGGCACAAGAAAAAACTGCTGCTGGAAAAACCTAGGGCCGAGGAAGTCAACAAAGAGCTGGAAAAGTGAGAACTACTGCATTAATTTGAATTTCTTTTATTTTGGGTACACTGACCCATATAGAAACACAGTACAGACATAAATAAATGCAACAGTAGGCTAAATGCATTGCCAAAATAATCTGTATAACATGTGACCGAGACATAAACGTGGAAAGTAAATTAAAGCAGCCCGTGATTGTGAGTTTCCCTCTATATTGCAGTAAGTTCCGAGCCCTGAAAGGCATCACCCTGTACGACAGTCCTGCCAGCCCCTGCAGCCGCCGTGTGCGTATGGTTCTCATCGACAAGGAAATCCCATACCAGACGGTAAGTAGAGTTTAGCCAGGAGGTTTCCTGGTTTCAGCAACGAGGTACATTTGTACTGGAGAGTGTGTTTGAATTAGACAAGACTGGGAATACCACCTGCATATGCAGGTTAGTGCAGGTAAAATAGGAGCTGTGCAGGTATTTCTCATGTCTACCTGCAATGAAACTACCTCCCAAGGTGGTTTGGGGTTGAGGCGCTTTCAAATCCGGCTTCGGTGGAATCTAGATTGAAAGCGTTTACAGCATATTTGTGTGAACGGGGCCTTAGCTTTTTGAAAGGCTTATAATATGTGACTTTTAATTCTAGGTGGAGGTTGATCTGTTGAAAGGTGAGCAGATCCATCCAGCATTCCTGAAACTCAACCCCAATGGCAAGGTCCCTGTCCTCACCATCTTCAACATTGAGGTGAGGTCACTCTGATGTGTCTGACTGCACAACTGTCAACTTAACCTGGAAATTATTACTAGTACTTCATCATTGCTCATACAGTGGCATTCAAGCTTAGCATGAAATTTACTGTACTTCAGTGAGGTTAATATCTGTAATGTTAGACCAGTGTTCTAGCCAGCCCCAATTTTTTTCCGTCATCTTGTTTGACATAGTATCATACATACCCTGTGAAAATGTTCAAGTTATGGCCCTCTGAAACACCATTTCCTGCATTTTGAGGGGCAAATTTTGCAGGTATCCTGAGCTCTTACCATAGCTAAAATTGCACACCAATTTTTGTCTGTCATGAGTTACAAAATTCCGTCAAATAATGGAGGGATTGACACTGGCTAGAGCTGCATCTGACTATCTTAATTAAAAAGTTCTTTGCTTTCTTCAGGGCCTTCCCAACTGTGTATTGTACGAGTCTAATGTCATCACAGAGTTTCTGGACACTGTTATCCCAAACGTCCACTATGGCGAACATGCACTGTACCCCACTGATCCCTGGGAAAGGGCAAGGGTCAAGATGTGGCAGGACTGGGAACTTGGTCTTACTGATGTAAGTCATCATGTTTGTTTGTTTGTATGTTTGTTTGTTTACTTGCTCAGAAACACAAGGGTAAACTGTAACTGTGTAAGTAACAAGTCAAGGTTTGCTAGGAAACTCAGAGATTGTTTATTTTGAATGAAGTTGTACGTTGAGAAAGAGGTCTTAATTGCATGTTGGCATGGATTCCAGTTAGGACAAGTCTAAAGGAACAAGACTTAGTATTGCTAATCATCTCCAGACTAACTGCTTCAAACTTCAACCGTGCACTCAGCCAGTTAGATACTAGCTATAGGTAATGCTTGCTCCTTGGCTCCTGGTAGCAACCTCCACAGATAGAGGACAAGCAAGTACAGTCAAACCTGTACTAGCGGTCACCTTGGCATTGCGGTCACCCGGCCATAGCGGTCGGTTTTTGCCGGTCCCTTGAATTTTTCCCATTGACGTAAGCATTAAGAATCGCGTATATAGCGGTCACTGTTCAACGCGGTCAGCGGTCACCCCATTCCGGTCCCGCCGGCTGTCAACATCGCCGATAGCGGTCACGGCTGGCCGGCCGTTACCCGCTAAACACCACGTACGTAACACCACCCGTGCACCCGACCTCGGGCTACGGCCGTTAGGACGTTCAATCAAGCCTTGTGATAATTTTGTGGCCGCTACATTATTAAAATGTGAACTAAAATTAGACTCCAGATGTGTATGAAATAAAGGAAAACTTGATTTTGACACGAAATTTTTGCGGTCGCTCGTGTTGACGTCTTTGATATCTGAAACACCATGTCGTGCGTGCCGCGGTGCTTTCAGTGGACTCGGCGAAGATTGCGGCAATCATCCTTACAAAAATCTTACGAATATCCATATTTGATTTTTCGATTCCTTGAAAAGCATAAATATGTGGCCAACTTCCCTTTTTCACGGGCATAATTCAAGAAATTTGGGCTGAGAAAATGCGTTTCGTGATTTTTCAAAATGGCGCAGGCAGCTCGCAACAATCAGGTCAATTGGGGTCATCGGAAGACTCCATTGGTTTGGAGGTAGATGTACCGACTTTTATTAAATTTTATAGCATCGAATGGCGTGATTACATTACAAAAATATTTGGAATACATTATTAAAACTAATTTCAATCGTAAACTTAAGTCTGTAGTGAATATTCTACAAAATATGTAAGCCTGAAAGGAGCACTATTTTTGTTGACCACCACATTGGCATAATGGCAGAGGCAGACAACCCACGCCGGAAGAAACCCAAGCCGTAAACAAAGGAAAGTTTTCGCTACGTTTTCATGTTCAAAAATGACCAAAAAACGGAACATAAACGGCAACAGATGAACAATTATTTTACTGTTAACTAAATGGACAGCATCTTGGTACAAAAAATCTTGTTTACATGGTTGGAATTCGTTGTGGCGATGTCGGTCATGCGAAGCACTCACCAAAGAACAAAAACGTGGCGATGTCATTCTCTTCCACCTTTCGACTTACGGTACTAGTAACGTGGTGATTGCGGAGAAACGATGGCAAAAGCGGAAAGACAGACGTCAAACTTATTCCACAAGGTGGATGTGATTCAACTGACAGCGAGTGAGAAGGAATTATCGGTCGAAGGAGCTTAGATTAAAGGAGTTTGCAGTCGGAAGAAACATGGCTTGGAGTCGACAGAAACTTTGTTGCTTGATTCGCTTTCAAGTTTTCTGTAGGTAAACATCGATGTTACACGTACACTAGAACAGTAAATGGCAACCAGTGATTTTGTATATTTTATTGGGAAGGTTTCATAGTCCCAGTAGATCAACTGAGTATCATGTCGAGTGCATGCAGTTTTGATATATATTTTTTTTCAAGCCCACAACTAAAGCAAAAGAACAACAATTGAATTATAACATGTAATGTTACATTTGAAAAGAGGCTTACCTGTGCAATGAATGTTTTCACATGTTTGAGAATAAAGACATAAATACATCTTTGTTCAATGGTACTGAAAGCATGTGTCACTTGGGGGGGGGGGGACTAACCGCCATTTCTGAGGGTCTGCATGCCCTTTTTCGTTAACCGTTATGGGCTATTTTAATTTACCGTTAATCGTTGCCGGCCCGCTCTAATTCAACGTTAAGCGTTATCAGTATATTCCTCGTGAAGCGTTATGGGTCGTTTTAATTCAACGTACGTTATTTGTCATCCTAAATTCAGCGTTAAGCGTTAATGAATAATTCTTCGTTACGCCTAATTTTGCCTTTCAAAGTGCAGGAAAATGCGTTTAAAAAATACAAAATTTCCCCGGGGGAGAAT